ACAAATAAATATATTAGAATAAATATTCAAATAAAATGCTTTTAAGTTTTCCTTGTAGGCCTGTGCTACAACAATACTACAGTAATTTCGTAAAGTAATCAAATATAAAATAAAACTGGATATTCTTCACTGTATGCATTAACGCGCATTGAAGCTTATAAACATATTAAGGCCCTGTCCACACGAACAAGGTTATTTTTAACCTCGCAGCTTTTTCTACTCGGTTTGGCCGTTTGTCCACACGCAAACGCAGCACCAGGTTACTGAAACCGAACATTTTTGAAAACTCCTGCCAGGGTGAAGATTTTCAAAAACTCCAGTTGCAGTGTTATCGTGTAGACAGTGAAACCGGAGATTTTGGCTTGTGACATCGGAGCCTGCGCTGCTATCTCCGCCTACTGGAGACTTTTTCAAGATTCTGATTGGCCAACATGGTTTTACGGTTGAGATTATATCGCCACCTGTTGGCTTGGCATGCTCTTGAGAGCGCTTCATAGAATGCGTTTGTGTTTTCATGAGGACGGAGATTTTTTTAGAAACGGAAGAAGAAAAAACTCAGTTTTTAAAAATACCTGTGTATGTGTGGACATGGCCTAATATTACAGAAGTGATTCCGTTAATAACAGTGAGTGATTTCCTCTTTTAAAGAGATAGTTCACCCAAAAAATTAAAATTTAATGTGTATCTGCTTACCCCCAGGGCATCCAAGATGTAGGTGACTTCGTTTCTTCAGTAGAACACAAACGAAGATTTTTAACTCAAACTGTTGCAGTCTGTCAGTCATATAATGTAAGTGAATGGGAATCACGGCTTTGAGAGTCAAAAAAACATACTCAATCAAATTAAACCCTGCGGCTCGTGACGATACATTGATGTGTAAAGACACAAAACAATCGGTCTGTGCCAGAAACTGAACCGTATTTATGTGATTTTCACCGCAATGTCTGAACTGTCCTGAGTGCATTCTCACCAAAAATACATAATGCACTTATAAGTCTGCGATCTGCCGTAAAGCAAGAAGATGATGTGTCATGCGCCAGCTGTTGTGAACACGCTCAGGACAGTTTGGACAGTGCGGTGAAAATCAGAGGTAAAAAACTATATAAATACTGTTCAGTTTCTTGCACAGACCGATCGTTTTGTGTCTTTGCACATCAATGTATCGTCACGAGCCGCAGGGTTTAATTTGGTTTTGTTTTTGTGATTCTCAAAGCCGTGATTCCCATCCACTTACATTATATGACTGACAGACTGCAACGGTTTGAGTTAAAAGTCTTTGTTTGTGTTCTACTGAAGAAACAAAGTCACCTACATCTTGGATGCCCTGGGGGTAAGCAGATAAACATCAAATTAAAATTTTTGGGTGAACTATCCCTTTAATTGTTTGATTAATGTTAAGGATGTAAACAGCAGCAGTTATTGCTGGCGTCATGTGAGTGTAACCATGAGAGACGATCCAAAATGTTTACCAGCTGTCAAATTTCTGCCATTATTCATATTGAGATACATATTTTTAAAACTGACTTAAGGAAGCTGGGTATAATTAGGCTAGTTTTTTAAATCGGATGCATTTCTTAGGGAGTATACAGTTTAGATTGTAGCTTTTAAGTTAATGCTTTGCTGCTAAAATATCAAAACAAAAGATGAAGAAAAACTATTCAACTGTATTAATCAACTAGTAGGTTTTGAGCTAATACCATATCTAATTTGAGCTTCTTAATTTTACTCTTAAAATAAATAAATAACTAAAGTATAAAATAAAATGGGTTAGTAGTAATGCTATTTCATGTTGACTAATGCCTGTTGCATGCTCTTATGAGTAAACCTCAAATATGCAAATAGTCAGGAAATCAACCTTAAAATGCTCTCATAAATAAATCAACTTGTTGAATTATCTTTTCTACACGGTGTATTATAAACTAGATGTACTCATGCTTTGTTAGTACTGCATTTTCTTTATTATGATACTATATATATATATATATACAGTTTGTTTTGTATTGTTTATTGTAACGGCATGTCCAGATTCGAAATAATTTGGCCGCTGGCTGAACTGTCCCAGCACGATGAGATTTTCTTCTGTGGTCTCAACTGTGTCGTTTCCTCTTTCAGCGTGAAGCAGTACTCTGGTCGGTTCTTCTAGAGGGTGGAGATCCAAGCCAAACTGCCATACCCATTCACTTCAACTTATTTTCAGAGCCTACATTCCTCTGCTTCTTGGGTAGATGTGCTCCCTGCCAGTTCTCCTAACAATATTTTTTAGACAACATATTTGAGGGGAAAGTTTTCTCAAAAGCAAGTGGATCCTCTTATTTCTTTAACATTTTCTTTCTGCACACGATTTTTCCATTATTGATTGTACTGTTTCGTAAGTAGAGGGAGCCCATCTGTGATGTCCGCTGTTGGCCTTACCAGAGCTGCATGCTTCGTCTGTGCAACATGCAGAATGTAATCTTAAGTTGTGGGGGGGCTTTCTTTTTCGTTTTTTTTGCCAATGAATTTATTGTCCCATTATCTTGTCTTCTTGATGATGAGACTTTTTGGGGAAAGTGTAAATATTGAGTTCAGTTCCTTAAAGTTTTAATATCAGTACAGTTTTATTTAAAGGATGAACGTCTATTTTGATTTGATAAATGGGGATATTCAGGGTGGGAAAAAGGATTAATTCCTGAGGGAATTTTTTGTGCTAGTTTTCTCAATCCGATTTTCAGATTCGTAAAACCTCAGAAGATGGATTGACCGTTTATACTCCATTGACATTGGGATCCGTTAAATCTTGCTAGCGCTTGTTTTGTACATCTGTTTGTAAGCATTTTTACCATTTTAGATGGATCTTTCTAGACACCTTTCTCTTCAAAGTTGGGGGGAAATAAAAGCTTCTCTGTACACTGGACTAAATGCATAGCATTTGAGTAAAACTGCTAATGTTACAGTAGCGGGGAAGATGAACGTGCATGAGTTATTTTATTTAATCTGTGTTATTTTAATGTTTTTTGACCTAAAACATAGAGACTCTGATGTTAAAGGGGTCATATGATGCAATTTCAATTTTTCCTTTCTCTTTGAAGTGTTACAAGCTCTTGGTGCATAAAGAAGATCTGTAAAGTTGCAAAGACTAAAGTCTCAAATCCAAAGAGTTATTCTTTATAAAAGTTAAGAGTCAACTACGCCCTCCTAAAATGGCTCGTTCTAACACGCCCCCACATATCTACGTCACTATGTGGGAAGATTTGCATAACGCCGCCCAAATGTTCATGCAAAGAAAGAAGGCATAACTTTTATTCTATATAACAATATAAAGTATTGTTGCTGCCGCCATGCCGAGACTCTGTGTGTTTCGTTGTGAAAGCGAAACTACTCTGTTTGGCCTTCCAAAAGAGGACGATATCCCCTTCGTCATGCCTGGAGCTGATCCATGCTGGTCGCTGAGGAAATACATCAACTTCGCTCTGTGGATCACCAGATCGGCTTTCACCGTGCGAAGCAGGGCCCCCCCCCCCACCGTGTGTTTCGTTGTGAAAGCGAAACTACTCTGTTTGGCCTTCCAAAAGAGGACGATATCCCCTTCGTCATGCCTGGAGCTGATCCATGCTGGTCGCTGAGGAAATACATCAACTTCGCTCTGTGGATCACCAGATCGGCTTTCACCGTGCGAAGCAGGGCCCCCCCCCCCACCGTGTGTTTCGTTGTGAAAGCGAAACTACTCTGTTTGGCCTTCCAAAAGAGGACGATATCCCCTTCGTCATGCCTGGAGCTGATCCATGCTGGTCGCTGAGGAAATACATCAACTTCGCTCTGTGGATCACCAGATCGGCTTTCACCGTGCGAAGCAGGGCCCCCCCCCCCAAAGTTGTATTTTCAACACTGTTCGAGAACAGTTCAACCCAAATATTCATTTGGGTGCAGCGCATTTTATGGAGGACTGTTTCCTGATCCTGGAAGAGTAGACTACAATGCCGGCTGTTCTGATTCACAGTCTGTAAGTACGTTTTCATTTAAAGGATTTGCCACTGATGATTCAAACGCGAGTTTTGAGCAGTGTAGAGTAGCGCTTGTTGTTTGTCATTTCTCCGATCACAGTGCAGACATAGTTTTATGTTTACGCGGCGCGATGCAACGCGTAAAAAGACAGTATAAGACAGTCATTATAATCTGGCCTGACAACAACACGGCCTGACATTATGGTAAGGGTAGTAACATTTCCGTCACACGCTTGAGGCATTCGGTCAATCACAACGCACTGGATAGCTGGCCAATCAGAGCACACCACGCTTTTCAGACCGATGAGCTTTGTAAAAATCAAGGCGTTTCAGAAAGGCGGGGCATAGAGGAGAAACAATAATGTACAGTATGTGGAAAATAATGTTTTTTTTTACTTTAAACTGCATAAACACATTTCATTACACCAAATACACAAAATAATGTTTTTTTTAGCAACATCATATGACCCCTTTAATGTGTCTGCATTCAAGCATTTCAGTGGGCTTAAACTGATCACCCTTTACAGCAGATTTAGTTTACAAACAACTGACAGTTTTGACCTAAATATGATTTTCAGTTACAATAATTAATCCTAAAATTCGACATTAGTAACTTACTTTTAACAGCATCAGACTCGCTCGCGCTCACAAGATCTCCCGGTTCTTACTTGTGAATTCAGTTCACTGGAGACTCGCACTAAACGGTTCATTTGAATCAGTGAGTTGTCGACTCGAGAACAGCTGCAATCGGATCATTCCAATTCGTGAATGAATCGTTTGGTGCGATTTGCGAACCGATTGAAAAGGTTCATTGAAAAGAATCAATTCGTTCTTGAATCAGACACCGCTTCTGCGTCTCGGAGTACGTGATATATTATAAGGAGTAACGATATTTTTTTATGAAATATAAAAAGTAAAAAGTACGATCTTATGCTTTGGAATGTAGTGAAGTAAAAGTAAAAGTTACTCAAAATAAAACTACTCCAGTAAAGTACAGACACTTGAAAAATGTTCTTAAGTACAGTAACGAAGTAAAACTACTCCGTTACTGTCCACCACTGGTCCAAACCAACCATTTAGTTAAAACTGAATCAGATTTCCCACTGCTAACCCTTCACTATTCACATGCTTCCGCTTTCAGGAACTGGAGAGAGTGGGAAAAGCACCTTTATTAAACAGATGAGAATCATTCATGGCTCAGGCTACTCAGAAGAGGACAGGAGAGGCTTTACCAAGCTGGTCTACCAAAACATCTTTACATCGTTGCAGGCCATGATACGGGCAATGGATACTCTCCAGATCCACTACAAATATGAACATAATAAGGTACAGTAATTTGCCTTACCCAATCACTCTTATTAATCTGTTTCTATGGATTTGTTATGCGTTCTTTATCTTGGTCACAGGTCTTCTCTGAACTTTTAAAGCACAAGCTAAACCTTTAGTAGTAAAGAAATAGATGCGACTGAATGTTATTGGTGCTATGAATGTTAGAGTGTGGCATCTTTTTGCATCTTCTGTAGTTCGGAGAATCATGGGAATGTTGCAAGTTGGACTCAAATTGCATTGTCTGCATGAGAGTCATGGCTCAGTGTGTCAGATCAAGTGTCACTCAGATAACTTTGCCAGGTCAACTTTGTAGGTCAAACATTGAGTCAAATAGGCTACCCTAAAAGAGATAAAATCACTTTGGGCTAATCATGTTGCCTAGGCTTAAACACAATTACCCCTCCAAGCTATGAAATTAATTATACCATTTTACTGCCTTGCAGAAATGTGCCATCTAGTTTTTTTTTTCCCATTTGTAGACGCCCCCAAAGACAAACCTATTTTCCATTGTGCGTAGTTGAAATATTTTGGAACACAGCCTCAATCAAGTTCCGTCTTATTGGGTCAGGTGTAGTGAGATGGAGAACTTCAACAAATTTGAGTTTTGAGTAAAATGGGTCAATAAAGTTGTAACCAGGTTATGTATAAGTGGGCTAGGACGTGACTCAACGTTTACTGTTGATTGTGTCCCATTGGCTCAGGGTTGCCAGATCTGTGTAACAAAACTCGCCCAACTGGTACTCAAAACTAGCCCAATTGAGTTCTGGGGAAAAATGACAAAATCAAAATCACTTTAATTCGCATTCCTGGTTGTCAAAATCTCCTTTCAGGGTGTTCCACTCGATCAAAAATGCTTTACCAGGGACAGGGGATTTCGCCTCAATCTGCGGACTAAAAAAACAACCTGTGACAGCTTTATAAAAGTAGCCTAATTCCATTGGAAAACCATGGACTTGGCAACACTGCATTGGCTGAAGCATCGGCTTTTAACACTGTTTTAATTGCATTACTTTTCTCCTCACAGGCCAATGCAAACATTGTCAGAGAAGTAGATGTAGAGAAGGTCTTCTTGTTCGTCAACCCCTATGTAGATGCCGTCAGGAGTTTATGGAATGACCCGGGAATTCAGGAGTGTTATGACCGGAGGAGAGAATTCCAGCTCTCAGATTCCACAAAATAGTGAGTGCATCTTAAGTCTGTCACCTTCCATAAGAAAGAAGAAACACAATGAGATCGCTCTAATGTGGCTTCTCTTAAACAACAGTGAGATTAAATGCAGAACAAATGTGGCTTTTAATGTGCTTTAAATGTGTCTGATTTTTCTCATTTAAAAAAGTCAAATAATCTAACATGTGTCTTCTAGAGTTTTAGAAAATATCTTAACAATGTCTCACACTGCGGGTCAGATTTGCCAAGACACCAAAGTCTGCACTCTCAAGTTCTCATCAAAAAATTTTTCATCAAATTCACCCAAGATCAAATGATCTGAGCCGTGATATTCAAATTGATATTAGTAGCTCTATACTATACTTGCTATGTCAGTATTTGTTACAAAGTTAATACTTTCTCTATGAGCAATATATTTCCTCTTAATTTATGTCTGACAAACAGTGCGTAAAGTGAGTTTTTGCGGATGTAACTAAATGCTAAACAAACATGTCATAATACAAAGTAACTATGAGCTTCCATGTGAAATGTTTAGATTATTTTATATCTTCATAATCAGTTGCCTTAGGATTTATATTTGTTGTCATTAATAAATCAGTAAGCTGGACCCATATGACTGTCATACCTGCCAATAGTAGTTTGGGAATCTGCATTTGCATTCTCTGATAAATTATTAATAAAATATTAATACCAGGTTATATTTTCCATGAAGAAAATTAATCCCATTTTAGGATCATTAAGATAATCAAGCACCTGCTCCAGTTCCAAAAATATCAGTTTCATTACTGTAGTGAAAATATATATATACTGTATATATATATTTTTTCCTGCATGATTTAAACAATTTCAATTAAATGTAATGCTGCTATACAGTGCTTAACAAATTTATTAGACCCCCTGTCATAATAAAGAGAGAAAACAAATAATTTAGGAATCTGTCAAAAATTAAAACTGTTTAAAACTAAAAGTTGTATTGTCATTTATTAGGCAAATAACAAACTGAAGCAAAAGAATAGCCTTTTTTCACATATAATTAAAAAAAAAAAACTTATTTTTATTTTGTATGGCCTTCTTTGGCCTTGATAACAGCTTGCATTCTTGCTGGCATTGTTTTTATGTACTTTTCCATTTCCACTTTTCCCTTTTCCTTATGTTTCTGTTGTTATTGACTTCCAAATAGTTTCTAGTTGTTCCCAAAGACTTGCTTTTGAAACTTTTTTGTGATCTATCTTTGAATACATTAAATCCAAACAATAATTATATTTTAGCATTAGAAACACTACTGTGACTAAAGAGCTTACACATGATGGTGTGGATTAACTGATTACAAAAACATTCAAAAAAAATGATTTTGGTAATCACCAATACTATTAGATTAGGGCAGATGTGGCACAACTTTCCGTACCCACTGTATATACTAATATATATGTGACCCTGGACCACAAAACCAGTCATAAGGGTCCATTTTTTGAAATTAAGATTTATACATAATCTCAAAGCTGAATAAATAAGCTTTCCATTGATGTATGGTTTGTTAGGATATGATAATATTTGGCCGACATACAACTATTTGAAAATCTGGAATCTGAGGGTGAAAATCTAAATATTGAGAAAATCTCCTTTAAAGTTGTCCAAATGAAGTTCTTAGCAATGCATATTACTAATCAAAAAGCTTGAAAATATTATCACAATGCAAAAAAAACCTAATGTTACAAAAAAATATGCTTCCTGTATCCAGAAGTACATTTGTTCATTCTTATTTTGAGGTAAAATGTAACTCTGGTTTCACCCAACGAATCAAAGAGATGCTTCAGAACTGTGAAATGTTCACTGTTTGTCCACAGTTATCTAAATTCACTGGATCGCATTGCCAACCCTTCCTATGTTCCCACCCAGCAAGATGTGCTCAGGGTCAGAGTGCCCACAACAGGGATCATTGAATACCCCTTTGACCTACAGAGTGTCATATTCAGGTACATCTTCTCTTTATACTTACTCTTCTTGTTCATCTAGTACCACATTGATACAAAATGCTCAGTTCATACAGTTCAACCCAGTGCTCAGATGCCAGATTGTAAGTGTATGACCTTTCAATCTGATGACTTGTCCTCTTCCACCAGGATGGTAGATGTAGGGGGGCAGCGCTCAGAAAGGCGGAAGTGGATCCACTGCTTTGAAAACGTCACCTCCATCATGTTCCTGGTAGCACTCAGTGAATATGACCAAGTTCTGGTTGAGTCTGACAATGAGGTAAATGAACTACCAGCAGAGGGAGCCAAAGTTGTTACTAACCACTGTAAATGTTTGCAGAATTTCGATTTTGCGTGATGCCTTGATGCACATGCACAGAAAAATGTATTTATTTAGTGGGGTATACAATCCTACAATCACGATTTTAGCAAAGAAAAATGTCTTGTTAAAAGTGTACTACATTTCTTGCGGGAAAAACTTTTAACTGTGTGGCATAATCTTATCAAATATTTTTTTTTGATAAAAACTAATGAAGCAGTATTAAAATATTAATACCATAAATATATATGGTTACACTTTATTTCGATAGTCCACTTTAGACATTCTACTAACTATAAGTAACTTTGTAATTACATGTCAACTAATTCTCATTAATTTGCAACTACATGTCTACTAACTCTCAGAGTAGACTTAGGGTAGGTTTAGGGTTAGTAGAATGTTGACAAAGAAAGTGTTAGAAGATATTAAGCAGACAGTCTACTAATACTCTACTAACTGCTAGTTGACATGTAGTTGCAAAGTTACTTATAGTTAGTAGAATGTCTAAAGTGGACTATCGAAATAAAGTGTTATCATATATATATATATCCTCAGAAATCATTGTGGATTAACAAACACGCAGGAGACCTTTTTGACGTGACGAAACAAAGCCAGAAATATTATAATTTTGTGTTTTAAATAACACATTTTGGATAACGCATTTAATATTATTTTACTTAATACCGCTTGACATTTTTATAGTCATTAAATGAAACTCTATGAAATTTTTATTTGTAATTAAAATGAACCCATAAAAACAGTCTCTGACTGACTTGGATCCGTAGATAATGAACTATTCTTTTCATTCTTAACTTTAAATGGCAAGCTGTGCTCACTTTAGCAGTGTTTGAATGTTGAATGTAATTTTTTTCTGAAATTGTCAGAAGCGGTGAATTAAATGTTAGTGTTGATTGCTGTAGTAAAGCAGGACTAAAATAACCACTGAAATGGCCCTGATGTGTTATTTTCCCTCACAGAATCGAATGGAGGAAAGCAAAGCATTGTTTAGGACGATAATAACATACCCCTGGTTCCAGAATTCATCCGTTATTCTTTTTCTGAACAAGAAAGACCTTTTGGAAGAGAAAATAATGTTTTCACACCTTGTAGATTACTTTCCTGAATATGATGGTAAGATTAAAAAGATTGTGATATGTTGTTTTTCCAGATTATTCTGTGAGATTTGAAAAAGATGGTCAGTCATGATGCGTTTATTGGACTGATGGTCTTTCCATGGTGCTGCAAAAGCATTGCTGTATTATTGTTCATACTTCAGGTTCCAAGTTATTTTAAGTAAAAGCTCTGATTAGTTAACCAAAATCGATCTATTTCTTCTCTCTTAGGACCCCAGAGAGACGCTCAAGCAGCACGGGAATTCATCCTGAAGATGTTTGTCGACCTGAATCCAGACTCCGAAAAAATCATTTACTCTCATTTCACCTGCGCCACTGACACAGAAAACATCCGATTCGTGTTCGCTGCTGTCAAGGACACCATCTTGCAGCTCACACTGAAGGAATACAATCTAGTCTGAACAACGGCCGGTTATGGTTTTGTCATTGTCTTGCCCAGTTAAAAGACTCGTCAGTCTGCAGCTAAAGTCTGCCGTAATGCTGTGATCCACTAAAGTCTGCTTTAACTGTTCGAGCAGTCCGCTGATTCTGCTCTGAATTTGGACACACACGGTTTTTTTATCTGTAACACAAGCCGCTCACTGCTTCGTCATTATTTATTTGCACCTCTGAGCTACTTCACAGAGTTCAACTTGAATGGTATTATTCCATTTTAATGAAATACATTGTTATTGAACTTTCTATTAAGGTTTATTCTGTAGCAGGTTATTTTTGGTTTTCAAGTTGTATTCATTGAGCTGTTTGCTATAAATGTTATGTAGATTTCTGCAACTTGGACATATGAATTATTCCGTGTGGTGAGGTCTTTAGAAAGCAATGAAAGTACTTATATGGTATTGTATTTTATAAGGGTCTTTTCTCATTTCCAAGGCACATGCATTGATGAAGAATAGATAACAGTTAGTTTTACATGAACATTTACATTAAAAGTGCCAAAGTTCTTCTAATGTGATTGTTTTATATATTGCCATACTAATAATCATACCACAGGCAATAAGTTGCCCTTGCCAGTATCATTTGTTGTTATACCATACCAGCTCTTCGTATGTATTTCTTGTATTCTTGTACATCTGCTGTTCATGACCTGATTCATTAAGATCACCGGTGTTCTGTTACATCAAGTCTGAATGATGTGCCAAGAGAGCCGATTCCTGTGCATCCTAATCTTAAACTACAAATGTGCCATTCAGAGATTTTCTGTAACACTTGCATACGTTTAGATTTTTTCATAATAAATTACCCAACAGATGTTCTCAGTGAGGCAATGATGCTCTTACTGGTGTTGTACTGACCTGACAGTGTGGTAAGTGTGGTGTAATAAAGCTTTGGTCAATATTTGCAGTTGTTTTTAAAGACGGTACAGATTTGTAAAGAGTTTCATGTGATTAGAAGCGTGTCAAACAAATGAATGTTTTGTGTTGAGCCAAGAGTAAAGGACCAAATTTCTGTTGTGATCCTCTGAAACTTTTTTGGGGGGTGAAGCTGACATGGTTTACATAGTGCTGAATTTTGGGTTATCACTGGAAAGTTTTTTTGTTGTTGTTGGAATAAAATCTGCTATTTTAGAGAGCAGTATATAATATTTGCTGTCCAAATGTAAAAAAACCCATAAAACTCATACAGTGGGCCATAAAAGTATGTGGACACTTGGAAAATTGCATAAATGTCACTGCAATAAATAAAATATCAAACCAAGTGGCATTTGTTTTTAAGAAAGATTTTAGGCAAAACATTTTACAAACGGAAAATAAGATAGTTGGGGGGTGAAGCTGACATGGTTTACATAGTGCTGAATTTTGGGTTATCACTGGAAAGTTTTTTTGTTGTTGTTGGAATAAAATCTGCTATTTTAGAGAGCAGTATATAATATTTGCTGTCCAAATGTAAAAAAAAAACATAAAACTCATACAGTGGGCCATAAAAGTATGTGGACACTTGGAAAATTGCATAAATGTCACTGCAATAAATAAAATATCAAACCAAGTGGCATTTGTTTTTAAGAAAGATTTTAGGCAAAACATTTTACAAACGGAAAATAAGATAGCACATTGTATTATTGAAAATTAAGAAAAAGTGTTAACTTTGAAAAACAAAATATCTGAGTCTGAAAGTTTAAAAAAGTCAAACTCTTTAACTGAATTGCATCTACCTGATCTGTGTGTTGGTTCATAAATGTGCGTAATGATTCAGTTGTTCAGTGTGGCTTATGCCTGCTTAGATGCTCACTGCAATAACATAATGCTTGGATCCTTTATACATGACCTATGACCTCAATGGCCTAAGGACTTCACACATGGCAGATATACTGTATGTTCACTGAATATAAGCAGACCATTCATATCATCAGGACTAACTCAAGATCAAAACACATTTCACTGTGCATTTACTGAATGAGAACTGTGATGAGTCCTCCTGATATACTGCATCATATTATTTATTCTTCTCTTCTTATTTGTCTTGATATTTTAAATCCATTTTATTAGAATCTTTATTTTTTTTTACTATTGTGCATGATAAACTTGGCTTGGAATCCATTGTATATTTTCAGAGACAACTATTAAACTTATTAATATCTATATCTATACTTAAGTTTAATAGTTTAATATGTTCTGTACTGGTCTGGAGCTGCTATTTATGCAATTTAATAGCCTGTTTTTGTTCCTACTTCCTCATTCCATCTCAAAAACGTTGCATAAGTGTGCTGTGACACAAGACACCTTACACTCTTAAATATACAGTCAGACGCCACAGCAGAATTTTGTTCGGCCGTTTTTATTTTCTAGTTCTTTACAAAACCATCTACTGCTTTAAAACACAGAAACCAGTATCATTTTCTGAAGCACCTGTAACTGCCACAGATATCTCTTAATAGCCATGAAATTGTATTTTGTATTGCTTTAGGTATATATTTTCCTCATTGGCAATAAATAAATATTTAGCAGGTTTGTTTTCCTGCATGTTTGTGGCGAACAGTGTCACTCGTAGCATTGTATACTAGATGAGCCAGTCTGTTTCTATCAGAAAACATAATCACATGCACATACATTTTGTTCCTTAAATTTTCATTTTGGGAGATGTAATGAGAGAAATATTCCACATGTGTAACGTAGCATGGAATTCTGTGCTACAGCAACAAACTTGTTTATTCAAAATGTTAACATTTAATTTTTTTCTTTGTTACTCATCCTCATGCAATTCCAAGCCTGACTGAAGCATAATAATGTGACATGCAGTTAACTCACAAAATGTATTTAAAGCTATTTTAGCTGTAATGACATAACAAATGAATGCCACTTTTATCAACAGAAGGTCTGCTAATGTATATGTTTAATATTTATTCATCAATTTATTTATATTAATTTATTCATTCATTTATAACTTGATAATTTTTGGTACGTACATGTCATTGTTATTTTCAAAATATGGTTGAATGAAATAAATGTAATATATAATACAAAACTATATATAAAAAAAAAGGTTTAGCTGCAGGTTTGATATACAGTATATTACAAATGAAAAGAAAATGCTTTATTTATGCATTTAGCATATTATATATTTTGGTCCTGGATGTCCAGAATGTTGATTTCCAGCAAGTTTCACTACCTAAAAAAAATGATGATGATGAAAATGCTGTTTAAAACAATATTTAAAAAATAAAGTTATTGTGTGTTTTAACCTTCTTAATAAAGAGCGCACTTGTTCCCACAGCTCTTATTTTGTTGTTAGAGCACATGTAATGGGCTGTTAACACTTTAGGCATAATTAATGCATTATAATCGATTGCTAAATTTCATAATCAGTATTTTTAAATATTATCACACTGATGCATTTTTACATCACTACATTTGGATCATCATTACATTTGGATGTGCAAGCTGATCGTCTGGGTGACATTTGCACATCCTTGGCCAAGCAAGTGGTTTAAGCTCATTGACTGAAATGATTAAATGAGGACATGAACTCTATTCACATTCACGAATAACCGTCTGGTATGCTATAGTATCTTCTCTGCCCCTGGCAGTTTCAAATGTGATAAAAGTTCTTAAAATGTTAATTTTGCCCTGCTGAAACCCCCCCCCCTCTTAAACCAGTCTAGGCTGCTGGTCTTAGTTGCTTTAAGCTAGTTTAGGCTGGTCTCCCAGCCTGGCCAAGCTGGTGTTTAGCTGGGATCAATCTGACCATCTAAAAAGTGCCCAAAACCCCTCTAAAATCAGTCAACAACCCAGTTTTGTTTAGTGGCATTTTGAGCAAGAGGTGTAATGCTATAATAAGTTCCTTGTACACTCTTAAAAATAAAGGTGCTTCAGGATGCCATAGAAGAACCTTTTTGTCTAAATGGTTCCATAAAGAACCTTTAACATCTGAAGAACCTTTCTGTTTCACAAATGGTTCTTTGTGGTGAAAGAAGGTTCTTCAGATTATAAAAAGGTAAGAAAGAGATGGTTTTTAAAGAACCTTTGACTGAATGGTTCTTTGTGGAAACAAAAATGGTTCTTCTATGGCATCGCTTGAAGAACCTTTTGAAGCACCTTTATTTTTAAGAGTGTATGCATCATGATCTCCAGTCCTGGACAAGGTGCACACGAAGAAAATAATATTCCAGGTTAAATTACTCACCCTCATGCGATGCCAAAACTGTACAACATTCTTTCTTCTGTGGAACATAAAAAAGAGAGAGATTTTTAAAGATTGGTTCTTTCTTTCTTTCTTTCTTTCTTATTTGTTTGTTTGTTCGTTGATACAGTGGAAGTCAATGGGTACCAAAACTGTTGGATTAAACATTCTTCAAAAAGTGTGTGTTCCACAGGAGAATGTTACACAATTTACAATTTTAAAATGGCATTCTTCAGTTCCTCTGTTCATGATTTTTCCTGTTTGTGAGCAATTGAGACTGGTGCAGAGGAAAAAGGAAACTAATGCCTTATGTGACACAACCCACCCCATCCATTGAACAAGGAAGAAACTTTACCTGTAAATTACAGTACATCAGGCTAGTCCTGAGGTAGGCATGTTTCAATAGGATTTTTGAAGACAGGGTTTTAACATTGGTGAGTGATTGATGAACGTGTTAACTGCAAAGTCCTGGAGAAGGTTCAAGCTGCTCAGGATGGGGGACTGCTGCTTGTCGGGTGAAGACAGAGAAAGCATCAGGATTCACCAAGAAATTGAGAGACAGCTTAAGATGGACAAGCGGGATTCATCCCGACAACTGAAACTTTTGTACAGGTATGTACTTTTCATTTTTGTTTGTTTGTTTTATTTTAGCTATGTAGATTTCTATTTTTTTAGTGACACCTGAACATTTGTAATGGTCAGTGTAAATAAGTTGTTCAGCATCAGTCATTTATTGACACTAAAATATAAAACAGTTAAATTGCCAGATGATATGCACTAAAGCTTTTATACAATAATTATACGGCTCACAGTATTCACACTTCAAATGTTTAGATGACGTTTCCTCTGACTGTTAGCGGTCACATGCAAATCTATGCAAAAGGATATCAATGGAAAGTCATTCATTCTCACACAGCACAGCATTATTTTTCTGTTCTTAATGAAACTAAAATGCAAGTAAGCATGTCAAGATATTTGCAAAAAACATACAAACAGGAACAATGTGTGAATTCCTATGGTAGGATCTACTGATAGGATCAGCTCCATCATGTCCTATACGTGTACTTGCATCATATCGAACATAAGCAGTTATTTATGTGTTTCAGTTCGTTTATGTTTTCCTTGATATGTACTTATGCATTTTACACTATATTTTAGGTTAAGTTTGTTTCTAATCAGTGGAGTCAATGCCAGTTTAATAGAAGAACAGATGATTGAGCTTAGGCTATGTGTTTCCTTGTTTTTACCATGATAAAAGTCTCCCCCCTTTTAGCAAAACTGCTGATTGTCAGACCTGTCTGGCATGTAATAGATACAATCATTTACATCCAGCACTGCAATGTCAAAATAATTTTTGTGTGGGTGCATGTGGCATCATTCTTGGTTACTTGTTATCAAACTCAAGAGACTGAGTTTGGTCTTCTGTGTGGTTTTCTCTACTATTCAGTTTTGAAGCAAAATACGCTTTTTATGATCGTCGACTTGATTGCACAGATATTATTTGAACTGAACTGAGCTGGACCAAGACATCACTGAATCAATGGTGAACAGACTTTAACTGAGAATTTGACTGTTTACTATTGTCCTTTGGCATTATCGACACACTATTTTCCTGTTTAATACTGTAGAGCTGCTTTGACACAATCTGTATTGTTAAAAGCGCTATATACTGTAAATAAAGGTGACTTGACCACAAAGAGAGACACAAAAATAAAACATTCATCAATAATCAGCAATACTTATCACAACAATCTCATTTACAAGTTATTAAACAAGTAATTGTATTGTAGTGTATAGACTACTTTGTTAAATGATAGTTTCTAAATATAGTTGTTTAACTATGGTTTCATATTAAAACAAATCATATTCAAACCATTCACACCCAGACCATTCTGATCACACAATCACAATGTTCATATCCTAAAGCAAACACGCAAATTAGAAAATCCATACTAGGTGTCTTTTGTCAGGTCTCTGTGTGTTTCCAAAAATAAGCATAAACTGTGGCTGAGAGATGATTATTAGAATCAGATCGGAATCAATAATGCAAACTTCAGGATTTATGAGACCAATTCAAATGTAGCTCTAGTAGGCCTATCATTTTTCAGCTTAATAACATATACAGCACCTTCAGATTCTACCAGAACAGGAACATTGTCTACATGAAGGAAGTAAGAAAAAAATGTCAGATCAATGTAATCAGTCATTATAAGGCCAAGTTGAGAACTGAGATGGGAAAAAAGCTGCAGCAATACTGCAGTGGTCTTTGAAGCTTTACCTTTGGTATTAAAGTGAATATTCATGCAAAGAAGAATCTGTCATTATATACTCACCCTAATGCTGTTTGGAGCACATACAAAGTAGTTTCACTTTCACAACAAAACACACGGCGGGCTAGAGTGAGCGGCGGCCAGCGGGCTTGAGAACGGCGCGACCGGCGGATTCAACGAAGGAGCGTCTGGCGGGCTTGCGGCAACCACATGTGACTACCCCGGGCTGGACTCCACTTCGTCCACGGTGAAAGCCGATCCCGGCAGTCCACAGAGCGAAGTTGATGTATTTCCTCAGCGACCAGCACGGATCAGCTCTAGGCATGACGAAGCGGATATCGTCCTCTTTTGGAAGACCAAACAAAGTAGTTTCACTTTCACAACAAAACACACGGCGGGCTAGAGTGAGCGGCGGCCAGCGGGCTTGAGAACGGCGCGACCGGCGGATTCAACGAAGGAGCGTCTGGCGGGCTTGCGGCAACCACATGTGACTACCCCGGGCTGGACTCCACTTCGTCCACGGTGAAAGCCGATCCCG